CTTCACCTCGACAATAAATAATGCAACACGAGTTCAGGGTGAAATAAAATCGTGTGTCGATCATATATTCATGAAATCAAAACCAAACATTTCCGAAAACATATTGCCAATTATAATTGAAACAAATATAACAGATCATTACCCTACAGCGATACAATTAGTTTTTGATGATAATAAACAACCTGCGAAAATGACCCCTCATATAAAATACATTGATCAAAACAAGATGAAATCTTTACTTGAAGCAACTTGTTGGGAACCAATCTACTCGGAACCAAATCCAGATTATGCAATGAGTAAATTTGTTGAGACTTTACAAATATTGATCAAAAAAGCTACTATACTGAAAACCAGAAAAAGAAAAGACACAAAAATTGCACCATGGGCCACGAATGCGTTGATAAAATCAATACATACAAAAAATAGAATGTTCAAAGAAACCCTCAAGAATCCCCAAAATTTAGAAATAAAAACCCATTATATAAACTACAGAAATAAGCTCAATTCTTTAATAAAAAAAACAAAACAACAATACTACAAAAACATGATAGAAACAAATTCTGATAATAAAAAAAAGTTGTGGGACGTAGTCAATGATCTGAGCAGAAGCAAAAAGACTAAATCTGACATACGATCAATAGAAACTGACACAGGGCTGTTGATAACCGATAAAAATTCAATTGCTAACGAATTCAACACAAGGTTTGCCAAAATGGGAAGAAAACTCGCCGATAACATTAACAAAGACAATAATTATATACCAACCAGAGAACGTGCTCTCAACTCTTTTGTTTTATTACCGACAGATGAAATAGAACTCAAAACGATAATCTATGAACTGAAAAATAAGAAATCAGTAGGTTTAGATGAAATCAAAACTGAAACTCTTAAATCTATTGCTGACTACATAACTAAACCCATGTCTTCTATATTAAATAAATGCATGAATTGTGGTACATGGCCCACATCATTCAAACAATCCATCGTCATCCCACTTCATAAGAAAGGTAATAAAACAAAAATAGAAAATTATAGACCCATATCGCTACTGACACATTTATCAAAAATATTCGAGAGATTACTCAAGAAGAGATTAACATCTTATATAGATAAATATAAACTGATATCGGAAAAACAATTCGGTTTCAAAGAAGGAACGTCAACAGAAGATGCAATACTGGCGTTAACCACAAGACTATATACTGCTTTGAATGAGAACAAGTCATGTTTATGTATTTTTATAGATCTGTCGAAAGCCTTCGACACTGTGAACCACGAGCAACTCTTACAAACCCTTGAGGATATTGGCATCAGAAATCAAACACTAAATATTTTCAAAAGTTACTCAACGAATAGACTGCAGGTTGTGAGAGTGGATGATGTGCATAGTCAACAAGAAACTATTGAATACGGTGTGCCACAGGGCAGTGTTTTGGGGCCCCTTTTGTGCAATATCTATATAAATGGCTTGTTCTCATTGCAGAGCAGTGGTAGTATATTTGGTTTTGCTGATGATACAGTAATAGTATATGAAGCTGAAAACTGGGAAACACTGAGAGAGAAAGCGCAAACAGACTTTTCTTTAGTTAAAAGTTGGCTTGAACATAAGCTGCTGACAATAAATATAGAAAAAACTTATTACTTGCCGATCAGTTGTAATAATGATAAGAGACCACATTTCGACCATTTAAATATCACCACTAAAAATCAGAGTTTCACCATATCACAGGTCAACAAAATCAAATATTTAGGTGTCATGATTGATAGTTATTTGAAATGGGATGTACACATTAGGTATGTTATTAAGAAACTACAAATCATCCTGTATAAGTTCCGGTACCTAAGGAAATATTTATCATCCAGTCACCTGAAGACATTGTATTATGCGCTAGTAGCAAGCCACCTACGCTATGGAATCGTAGGGTGGGGTGGAGCACTGCGCTCGCACATTAACCCACTCGAGGTTGTACAGAGAAGATTTTCAAAAATAATTCTACAAAAACCAAATAGATTCCCTTCAGATATGTTGTATCGAGAATGCAAAATATTAGACATAAAAAACGCTCATTTACCCACCCACAATTATGAAACGAGACAAAGACACCATTACGTCATTCCACAGATAACTAAATCTATTTGCCAACAATCGTTCTCATATATTGCACCAAAGGCTTACAACTCCATTCCAGATAACATGAAAAACATTTCAAATATCAAGTTGTTTGAAAAAGAATTGAAAAAGTTTGTACATGAAACATCAAGATCTGTAATTATTGCAATAATTGAGAGGAAATATTATTAATATTTTATTCACGCATAATGTATTCTTGGTAAAGTTTTATTATTTCTCATATTATTCTTATTATTATTAATTGTTCACATCATTATTATCACTATATATATCATTAATATCATTGAATTTATCATTATTATCATCATATTATGAATTACCATTAATAAACCTATTTCAACATAACATTCCAGAGATACCTATGTCGATGAGTCACCTAGGCAATGTTAATTTGATTTGATATCATCGTATTATATATTATGGTTCTCATGATTTATATATACATATATTTTTATTTGTTCTTCGTTATATTATAGAGACCACGTTATCATTATCTGTATTTAGTTATATCATATGTTTCTCGAAACAAGTGTTTACATCACTTATCGAGTATTGTCATTTATTCATATAATTTATACTCATACATTTTTTTTTCTATATATATTTATGTATCTCATATCTGTTTTCTTGTCATATTATTTCACGAATAAATGATATTATTATTATTATTATTATTATACATTCGATGGAAATTCATCATTGATCTGGTGGAAATCGTTTTTGAATTATATCCTTAATTAAAAAAGTATAATGTAAATTTTCATTACCGTCGACTTTATTGGACACAATTTTTCACGATTTACGTTTCATGCTATGCTTCCCCTGTAGGTAGGAAGGTATTTGCAGTGATTCAAAGTTCTGTGTCATGCGAAAGAATTCGTTTTTTTGTTATCTGTTTGTTTCTGAGATAGTTTTGGTCGAGAATTAGGTTTCGGATCTCCTTATAAGATTTCCTCGACTTATTATCAGAAAATTGAAGGAGTAATGGCAATTATTCAAGTTCATGTTATCCTCATAGAGATTGCAAGTATGGTAGGTTTCCGTGCTCTCACGTCTAGACCCTACATACGCCATCACTCGTAAGCTATCGTTATTTGATGGAAGCAAGGAAACGAGACATGTTGAATCCCTAACTCCTACGTAGGTACTAGTTCCGACTGCGATCACTTCGCCTATGTAATATTTTTTTATGAAACGATGGTAGACTGAAACAGGAGTAGTTTCATTACCGACCCTTGGGGCACCCATTGCTTGAAATTGAAAAAATCAGAAGTGATATCATTTTCCTAGATATACTGGCATCTGTGTCCCGAGTACAATTGTATTCATTAAATAGGTAACCCCATAGTAGTAGAGTTTCTCATCCAATAGAGAATGGGGGGTACAACCCCTGCCACTAGTTATTCCATTTTTCCAATTCAATTGGAATAAAGATTCGGAAAAGCTGAATAAACGTGTAGGAGTAGTAGAACGGACATGAATTCTTTTTCCGTATATTAATATTCGTTTCTCAATGCGCTCTCGACTCACGTCATCTTCAGTGCTTTCTGTTGGTTGATATCAGTAAAGTGCCAGCTGGACAATGAATTCAATAGATAATTCATGATTGATTATATGATGTGCAACGAATGAAAATTTCAGAGATTGATATAAAAATTGAGCCTAAAAAGTACTTACAAGTCAGATAAGAAAAGTACTTCGAACAATCTGACCTTACTTAGCTCAAATGAACCTCCTTCATAGTAGGGTATATTTTAATGAGTTAACGCGATCTATACCAGGTGTCCCAGATTTCCTCATACACAATAACAAAGATGACGTCCTCTCCGAAAAAACCGAAAGCTCCATAATAACGGAAATGAAATATAATGAAAGCTCTCCAAGTCGTCTCCACAACGTTCAATTTCAAATTCAAGAAGGTGGCGACATGTTTCGGACCCAAAAGGTATCCATCATCAGCCAGAAAGAACTATGAAGATCTCATATCTCGAAGAGTTCAAGTCAAAATCCACAACCGACAGCAAACGTCAAAAACCTCAGCTGTCAGCAGTGAAGCGTGAAAAATTGCCCCTATCGCGAATATGTGAAATATCCAGATCAGTATTCAAATCGAAGGAATGTTGGGAATTGAAGACATGGTTAGCAGAAGAACTTACAGTATTGAATTCATCATCTCTGGTTGTGTCTTCAAATTCATTTATGAGTTTCACGTGTTCATTAACTCGACTCTGAATCTTTCTACCAATCTGGCCAATGTATTGAGCATGGCGATTGGGTTCTGAACAAGATATCTTGTAAACACCTGATCTTGAAAGAAGGGGTACCTTGTCTTTAGTGTTAACAAAACTGTGTGAAATTGTGTTCAAAGTGTAAAAGGAAATGTTAGTGTATGTACTGAATCGATGGAAGATGGTTTTAAAATCATTCGATACTTTCCCTATGAAAGGAATCGACAAGCAGAAAATTCTAGGACTATCAACGGGTATTAGACAGTGGCTGAGAGATTTTTGGTAATGTTTTTTGTATATTCCATTGATAAAGTGGGGTGGATAACCGTTGTTATGAGAAATTTATTTTTCAATGTTGAATTCTTTATTGAAATCTGATGGATTTATAGGAATGTTGAGAAGTCTGTGAAAGGAGGGGTTGCAAGCAGCTGGTTTGTGAGGAATAGGATGGCAAGAAGAACAGGGGATTACTGTGTCAGTGTGAGTCGGTTCACGGTAAATGGAAAAACTGAATTTGTCATTATCTATGTTGATAGGTAAATCTAAGAATAAAAGAGCATTGTTGACTGCTTATTTTGGTTTAGGTATGTTGGCGACTGTCTGGTACTTTTTGATGGTACACTAGATGTCATTATACTCACCCAATTGTATCAGGTTCTCTAGAATCAAGACTGCATCATCATCGATTTCATTACCACCTGTCAAATTCTTTCTAGTAGCGATGCACTTGGGAAATAATTCAATCACTTCTTGGATCCCTATTCCTTTTTGAAAACTCTGTAAAGTTGGTACTATTGTCTCATAAAACGCCATTTCATTGGTATAAGTTATTTGGATCTGAAATATTTCCCTGAACATTTCAGTTTCCGGGAGAATTTTCGCAACTGCGTATAAGATTTCTTCTGAATCATTTTTCTTGTTTCCGAATGTGACATCGAGTTTCAGCATCACACTTCCGAAATTTTCTCCTGGTGGCGTGAGCCTGGTTATTTTTGTCTCCTTGATGACTACATCAGGTCCTAGATTCTTTTTCAGTAACTCCGATAAGTTTCGTAACTGGAAATCCATTTAGGCAGTTTTCGACACTGTGATAATACACCTTCGAACAATATTGTTTCAATGAAATAATTCGTTTTTCAGCTGTTTATAAATCACATTGACGATCTGTGAAATGATTACGATAAAATACCTCTCGTGTAACTATCGTATAACAAACACTTATAACCTTGTTCGTTACGTCAGTCCTAATTAGCAGTGGCGTTCCCGGAAGTTTATCAAACATATGATTTTGTACATGTGGATTCAATTTCAGCTCACACTTTCGGAGAAAGATGTCATGACTCTCAGCTTATATGATGTATTTCAAACTCATTGGCGTAGTGAGCATTCATAACAGGCCTGGAATATGTTTTTTTTTGAGAAGTTTCACACGTCTGGGTACTTAATTCTTTGATTCGAGTAACTTATCATTCAATATATTTGAACATACTGATGTTAATTCAAATCATATTTTAGATGTAGAAAGTTTTTTTCGGTATTATCCACATAGTGTTTTTCATTAGGAACTGTGAGTTCTTCTCAAGAAAGCATCGCAAAATACTACTCATTTTTATATCATCATTATCTTCTAGTTACCTTGAAACCCAGATTTCTCAGATATCGATGGTACCATATACTGTGTGTACTTTCCAATGAACCAAATTCCATTTTGGTACAAGTGTGGATGTACATTCGAGAAGTGAAAGTCGACTCTGAAGATACAGGGTGGTCTATGGAATGAATCATGAATGTTCATGTTGGACCACTCCAATTGGAGAAGGACGGTTCCATTTGAAGTATTCAGGTTTTCAAGCCTGATATTCGCTCAAATATTGAATAAAATAATTTGAGTGACAAAAATAGTGAGAAATCATTTCATGAATATTGAAAAAAAAAGTGACCACATACATACTGGGTGACGCTTGAAGGTCTCTTCAAATCTGAGCACATAGTTCCCAGGTCAGACGGAGCCGATTTGAAGCAACTAAACTCTGTTCAAAATTGCTCTGTTTCCAAGATACAGGGTGGATAAGTTGAAACATAAACTTCGATAAGTTCAGTTCAAAGAAATATCTCGAAAAATTAATTTTTGTATTGCTATGTAATTCACTAACCAAATTACATCCACGGAGATAACAGCAAAAACTGTTTATTCAAAATAATTTGAATATTCCGGTGCGACATCAAAAAATAAAAACCAGATTATCTCGGAAATAGCTCCCTTCAGTGAATTCTCACAAGTGCAACTTTTCAACTCGAAATTATTCTGAAAGTTTTCTTCTCATCAAAAAAGTAGAAAACTTCACGGGTTTCATATCTCAAAAAGCCCTTGAGTACCAATTTTTGAAGTGATACGTCTGAATATTTTGATTTTTATTTATCCACTCCACCAACCAGTATCTCAGAAATGGAGCTAGTTTGGACTGAGGTTAGTTGCTTTGAATCGTTTTATTTCGTATCCTGGACTATGTGCTGAAATTTTGTAGGAACCTTTTAGATACACCCTGTATATCCGAAGATAGTTGAATTTAAAATAATATTCTGTGTTAGTAATCAGGTAGAGAAATATTCGCTTGTAAACTCTGGTACTTCAGTTATCAAGTAATGTGTTCTCTAATTGTGAAACCACCTGCTGGCGAATTCTAAGAAATTCTCGTATTGAGTCGATACGAGACATTAGTCAGGGCGACTCGAGAGCAGTTATCGCTTCTAGGTTTTTATCGAGTTGATATCGAGGAAACCCGGACGCCAATTCCTAGGATTTTTGAACACATAAAATTGAGATTTGAACCTGGCGGGATCGATTTGTCAATAAATAAGTTGATTTATGTCATATTCTAGGTATTTTAAAAAGCGCTCCAGTGGGAATTGTGTGAAAAAAGTATCAATATGGCTTTCAAACTTGAAGGAAGCCCATTGGGAGGTACTTGCCAAAGCCATGGTAGAAAATTCAGTGATTGCCACAGGTAAGGTTGGGGTCAAATGGGGAGGCCTATCATGAAAAATGATGAATTCAGACTGCCAACAAACTGAATTCCTTAGGATTCGGCACTCAAACTACGAAGAAGTGGCAGAAGTATGTATATTAATTTTTTCAATTCCTTATTTTCATTAGCAACAATACACATCTGATGTATAACTTTATGTGAAAAATATACCTATATACATATAATATATCGTGTACCATGAGTATACGTATTTATTCTCAAGTATAGTAGAAAAATGTATAGTAATCTCACATTTTTTCAGACATGGACTGATTATGAATACAATTTGAGAAGAAAAGCAGCCGAAATCAAGACCAAAATTGAAAAAAACTGGTGGTGGACCTCCAGATATACATAACTTGAGTGAAGTTGGGCACAAATTCTTGGTTTTATTGAAAGAGCACTTCATGGGTTTAGAAATGATATGGCTAATCTTTATCAAAAGAACCAAGAAAAAAATATAATGTATCTCCTTGAACTTCCTGAGTCAACATCTTTACCTTGCACAATGAGAAATGAATCAATAAAACGACCATTGATGAGTGAAGAAATTCCTAAAAAGAGAGAATGGATAGACTAACTCACAGAATACAAAAAATACAATTGATGAGCTGAAAGCAATAAAGATGGTCCTATGGAATATATCAAACACATTAGGTGGCATGTCAACAGTTTTTTGAACAAGAATATTGAGGAAGAACAAATCATTTTCCAACATATTTTCTATATGTACCAGTATGAAACAAAACGAATAGAAATATGATGTACATGAATAATTCTGCTCACATTTGTGACATTTGAACTCTGATAAGCAATATATACCAGGAATCATCACTTCTACGTCTTACTAATCTCACTATACTATACTATTGAACATTATTGACTTCCGCGACCATTGAACGAGGTGTTCCTGAATGGAATGTTGATATTCAAGGGGGCCATTCTCAGACCTACTTCAAGCATAAAACTTCACATGAACGTATGTCGCACAACATCCTTACTTTTGAGATACAGGGTATCAAAGTTGAGAATGCGCATATATTCTTCTTTGTGCACCTTGTTTAATTTTTCGTGATGGAAAAATTCATTCTGCTATGTGACTGTGATTATCCAGTGATAGATGTCCTGAATGGAGTAATCAGCTTAGCATATACAGGGTTATTTATCGAAAAGTCCCACCCCTATATTATCGTTATTTTTTATCAGGAGGAAAAAACAATATGAGAAAGATGGAAGCTGCAATGTGAGCTTTTTCACAGCCCTCATCATGATTTCTACAAGGTGATCCCTAAAAGCGTTTCAAATCAAACATTTTTTTTTTTCAAATAGAACACCCTGTTTTTTATATTCTTTTCAAAAACTGTGAATTTTTCTGATCACAAAAATATATATACATATATACAAGATGATATATTCTATTTTCACTCCTTTATCACCACTCTACTGAGCCTCAAGTATCAGCATGTCTTAAAGAAACACCCTGTATATGCGGTAATTCTGAAGATATTGGCAACGAATTGAAACTTCTTCATTATTAGTCCTAGGAAAAAAGTAAACTTCATGAAAAGTTCTCCAAGGGCTGAAATCGAGAAAAAAAGTGTTAGATTTCGAATGTCATACACGAGGTATGTCCAGAAATTTTAGTTCTGTTCACGAGTGAAGAACCTATACTGACCTATATATTCGACGTCAATTATCAATAAGAGGAGTAGACTAAAATTGAGAAGTTTGATCAAAGATTTTGTTACAATTTTCGCTGGAATATATGATGTTATTAGAAATAACTACCCTTTGGAGTAAACATCCCCAACGGGATCGATTCATGTTTTCATATTTTCCTCAATATCCCGACGTTGTCAAGCGAATCGAAGGGTGAATATGGAATCTCTGATACGCAACCAATATCACTAATACCGAGCTTCAGGAAGAATATCTCCCTAATAGGGTGAAATCAGCCCCCATATGATTCGATGAATTCGAAAAATTCATGAAACTCGATATGTTCAGTTCGATTGTGATATGGTTCCTGCATTACCTCAGATACCCTGGTACGTTTCATATATGATTTCATTGGGAATAACTGCCCGTTGGGGAAACAACCCCAACGAGATCGATTCAAATTTTCATATCTCCCTCAATATTCTGACGTTGTCAAGTTAATCGTGGGGTGAATATGGAATCTCTGATACAAAAACAATATCACTGATACCGAGTATCAGAAAGAATAACTCCCTAATAGGGTGAAATCTACCCTCACATGATTCGATGAATTCTAAGATTTTATGGAACTCTATATTTTCAGTTTGATTTTGAGATGGTTCCTGCATAACCCCAGATAGGCTGGTATGTTTCATATATGATTTCATTGGGAATAACTGCCCGTTGGAGAAAACAACCCCAACGAGATCGATTCATGTTTTCGTATCTCCCTCAATATTCCGACGTTGTCAAGCAAATCGTAGGGAGAATATAAAATGTCTGATACAAAACCAATATCACTGATACCGAGCTTCAGAAAGAATAACTCCCTAACAGGGTGAAATCAGCCCTCATACAATTCGATGAATTCGAAGATTTCATGAAACTGTATATTCTGATTTTGATTGCAAGATGGTTCCTGCATAACTCCATGTACGCTGGTACGTTCCATATAATGTTTCATTGGGAATAATTGCCCGTTGGGGTAAACAACCCCAATCAGATCGATTCATGTTTTCATATCTCCCTCAATATTCTGACGTTGTCAAGCAAATCGTAGGGTGAATATAGAATTTCTGATACAGAACCAATATCACTGATACCGAGCTTCAGGAAGAATAACTCCCTAACAGGGTGAAATCAGCCCTCATACGATTCGATGAATTCGAAGATTTCATGAAACTGTATATTCTGATTTTGATTGCAAGATGGTTCCTGCATAACTCCATGTACGCTGGTACGTTCCATATAATGTTTCATTGGGAATAATTGCCCATCGGGGGAAACAACCCCAACGAGATCGATCCATGTTGTTATACATCCCTCAATATTCTGACGTTGTCAAGCAAATCGTAGGGTGAATATACAATCTCTGATACAAAACCAATATCACTGATACCGATCTTCAGAAAGAATAACTCCATAACAGGGTGAAA